GTACACACTTTGGATTTTAAATTAAGATGTTGAATGACGTTTAGAAAGGAAAAATATCCGGGCGTGGAGGAAAAACTTTAAGAAGCTGGTGTGCGTTCCCTTTAAATAAAAAAGTTTGAATACCAAAACACGCGGTCCGGAAACTCAGTAAATCATTGAAAGCCGCAGCACCTTTCAGCAGCGTCGACGTAGATCTCCGGTGGCTGGGCCGATTCACTACCGCTGCCAGCGAGAACAGACTATGCAGACGCGGCGGACGGTGCGCTGCAAGCAGGTATTTTGGCCCCACTCTCCGGTTCAGTGGCTCTCAAATGGCGCTTTTGGCGCGAAGATTGGCCGAATCAGGATTTATTGAATCCGCGCCGGCCATTTGCGTTTCCCACTCATGGAAGTTAGCACCGTCTTTGACGATTAAGCTTTTATTTAAACACATGACATTTTGCCAATTGTCATGCTCGGAAAAGAAGTGATGAAGACAATTGATCAATAGCACTCACCCGTTCGATACATATCCTGCAAGTTTAAGTTTTATGTCGGGTTCCAGGTTACCAGGAATGCACTCATACGAGTGCAATCCTGCACTCGTAGGTATAATGTTAAAGTTCATTTGCTTCTTCGCTAAATTTGTTAGATGGGTACCTTCAAGCGTATGGCTTCGCTACAAATAAGGCGATGATTACCTACTTACTGATATCTGGCTTGTATAGTCACGTAACCCTCGCCGGACCTATTGGTTTTCTGCATACGCTCCGACCGAAAGGGGGAGGGGTACGACCCCCTCGCCATTACTTCGCAAAAAAAAACGGTCACAGAGCCGCTATTTTGGCATCATCGTGTTCACCTCGCTCAGGCGCGTCGAATGGTATACTTCTTGTTTGGGTGAGGTCAGGTTAAGATGTTTACCTCGGGTCAAGGTCAGATCAGCGCCCCTTTAGGTCACGAAGCTGGTCAAAGGAGGTCATGTTACATATCATTCGATTCGGCACGTCTTCTTGAGTCCATTGATGGCTTTTCCGATTTGCCAGTTCAATTTGATCGAAAGTTACTGACGAAAAACTTATGAGCCAAGTGACGTCATAAATGACGTCACGCAAGGTTAAAAGTGCAAAAGTGAAGCATCGGACCTTGCAGGGAGTGAATAAATCACGATTACGTGAGCTTGAGATAGTTTGAGATCGTTCCCGGCACTAAAATAGCAGGTTGATTTTTCCCCAATGACATATATGGAACGGTGAGGTCACGTGACCGACCTGACCTCATGTGACCTTTAGGAGAAATCTGAGGTATGTTCCATAAGCAGTGTTCCAGGGGCAGATTTTTTTACCGATGCCACTGGGACTTTTAAATCTCATGTTTTGAAGTATATATCATCTTTTTAAAGTCATAGAGCCTTTTTACAAGCTCGTTTTTTTTAGATTCATCTTAACTCACATATTGTTTGTGCATTATATTTTTTAGCTATATTTATCGTAATATTTACCTACTGTTTACTCTGCATTGTTTGCCCGTATATCATTGTTTATCATGTATAGTGTTAGTTTGACTTCGCCTGTCAGTGGGGGTCCGCCCTGTTGGTGATTACTTGAATAAATAAATAAATGAATAAATAAAGTATGCACGTTGTGAGACCTCTGGAGGATACTAAATCCTGCAAGTTTCATCTCCTTGTATAAGTTTCTCTGGCACTGAGGGCGTTGCGAAGTTGCGACATCTGAGGACCGTGCAGAGGTTCACTTATGACGTCATAGGTCAGTGACCTGACCTGACCTGAAAATGCGCTTGGTGTCACAAGATGCGACTTGGATGAAAGGTCAGGTAAGCCAAGTTTCAGCTTTCTATCGCCGGCGTGTTTGGAGCTATCGCGAAAAAAAACTAGGGTGGGGGGGCAGCATCCGCCCCCCCCCCCCTCGGCCGGCGAGGACCAAGTTGTCCCCGAGTTCAAGGTCATGCAGTTATCGATACAGGCTAGTTTAGGGATGCTTGCTTCAAGATTAGCACCTAGTAATATATGCCTACAATATGCCTACTGGCGCTCGATATTCGATGAAGGCGTCAAAAACAGTGCTGGATTTTTAGAGCGAGCCTCGTTAGAATCTGCCTGAAAACATTCTTTTTCTATCGTGTTCAATGTTCATGCGTGAAAAACGCTTTGGTTCATAAGCTATTCGGCCTCAGTGGCGATAAGCGTGTCGTTCTAGTGAGTCAGCGTCGGTGCCTGGCGACGGCGGCCAGCCAGCGCCAACACAAATTCTTCAGCTGGTGGTCCTCCGCGGCGGCAGCTGGCTGGTGACCTGACCTTGCGCGGCACCCGCACGGCACGCCGAGTAACAGCTGAACATCACCGAAAAAGTAAGCGAACCGTCTGTTCATGTTATTTCTTGAATGTCAATGTCAATGCCTTGAAATGTAGCATTGTGGTAGGTATACGGTTAACAGGTTTTTTTTTAACAATATATCGCATTCGTTTCATTTTGACCTCGGTTTGTCGTAAGAGCACGCCATATAGCCCAAAGACCGTGGGAGCTGCCTTATAGGAAGCCAGCATTTACCTGAAGCTTATCACTTAGTGATGGCCTATGTTCCTCCCTTTCAACTCGCCTCAACGAGCTCCCCTCAAACTTCTTAGTATATGCTCTTTCCTTCCGGGTTTTCCCGGGAGCAACATCCAGTATCCCATATCGCCGAACCGTTCGCCCGATAGGGTTAGGTACTGCTCGGGTCAGCCTTTACTGCCCCCGCCCCCGGGGCGGCCCAGTGACCGTTTGGGGTGGCCATGGTCCGCGCGGCCCCCGACACCCCCAGCTTTGGCACCTCTGTATCGTGTGACGGACCTCCGTCCCAGCAGCGCCGCCACCGCCCGGCGCCGGCGGCCGGCCCGACCCAGCCTGGCCGCGGAAGGCAGGAATCCATCTGGGTATTTTTAGGTGTCGACCGGTGCGCCCTCTGCTCCCCTAAATTGGGAGGGCCACCGAGTGTCGGCCGGTGTGCCGGTTCACTTCGGGTCTAGCCAGCGAGGGGTGCACTGCGCAACATCCCACCGCACGAACAACATCATGGTAAGAGCTCAGCGCGCGCCGCGGCCGGCGCTGTCAGTGAGACTGTGAGCACAGCACCAGTGGTGACGCGCGCCAGTGACCTGAAGACCAGCGACCCTCTGCGGAGATCGGCGGCTAGCGGAGAGAGACCCGCCGCTCGCGTCAGAGCGCACCCTCCGGTGATGTTGCTACCAACTGATCAGAGACTGTGCTTGCTTGTAGCAGAGACGGATAGTGCTATATGAATGCTAAATTTCAAATATTATCTGCACGTTCTCTTATAGCTTTTACGCCAGATTGCCTTCTTAAGTAGTGAAGTTGCGCTTTCACTTTTGCATCTGGATACTTTGGCTTCATTTAACACTTGCCTTTTCTCTCTATGAAAGGAAAAAGACCAGAGATGATTCGTCATACGCTATTAGCACTTAATTGTGTCCGAGTTGCTCATCAAAGTATACGTGTATATCACCTTCCTCAATATGTCCATCATTGACGGTCGTTTCCTTCTGTGTTGCAGGCCGACCTCGCTGCCAGAGATGTTGAGAGTGAGTATCATACCATCTATCTGTCACTTGTGTGACATAATAATGCAACTGGCTGGCCTAAGCCGCACTCTTGGGAACAAAGGAAGGCACATAAAATTAACAGAGCTTTCTCATAAGTTGCTGCCAAGTGGGAAATATTTCGCAGTTGGTTGGGGGCGTAAGTTTGATAAACACCTTTTTGCTTCTGTAGTATTTTGAGTGAGATGTTTTATAGCGCTGAGTTTAACGACAATTGAGTTGCACCTATAATTTTCCTAGCGATTATTTATTTATGATGACTTATATGCAATATACTTTATTGCATTTATAAATTACATGCTGGCTTTCAAAGCATCTGTGCTGTGGCATGCCCATTGCATATCAATGTGTAGATTGCTATATGGTTAGAGCGTTGTCCTGCTTATGATTAACAGCGCGAGTATCAAATTTCGCCGTGGGCCAACGGTGGCCCCTGTGGATTGTCGGCGGCTGTTCAGCCTCTTACACCAGTGCCGGAGGGCGGATACTGTAAATGGCCATCATAACCAACTCTCGGATCGGTCGCTCCCATTATTTCTCATGATCAGTGTAATATTCTGCCGGTGGCGGAGTCTGCGGAAAATTCTGCGCCACCGTCGATGACTACCCAGCTGGCCGGGTGCCAGCAGCGGCCCCGCCCGGCCCGGCGCGGCGCGGCGCGGCGCCACCGGCCTCTGGCAGGTGCCCGCTCTAAATCGGGCGCGGCCCGGCCTCTGCCGGAACTATGCGGGCCCATCTCGGCTGCCAGCGGGCAGGCCTCGGCCCGCCAGCCCGACCGACGGGCCGCGCGGCGCCACAGGTCACGCTCATGTCACGAGGGCCCGCCATGTAGGGACTCTCCGCAGATGAACGCGTAAAATCTCGAAAAAATTCGCATCTCGTCTACCTTTCCTTGGGAAAGATAATCGAAGAAAGATTTCAGTACAATGCTGTAACTAATGGTTGCCAGCTTTGACGCTGTGAGATGATAAGCATTGAGTTCACGTTCATTGCTAAAAGGCCTTTTAAAGTCCTGAATCTATCTCCTAATTTTTAAAAGGCGGCGGTAGAACGCGTTTCACATGCTTTTTGGGATAAGTATCCAAACTGCCTTTTTGTGTTTGGTTGCACACTGATTTCTTTTCCCATTCACGGCTGAGAGCATTGTCTTGAATTTCGATTCGACCCTGTGCTAGATGAATGCCTTAATGGCTCTTTCTCCGAACAGAAAACAGAAGAAAAAAATATTATGCTCCTCACCAGTACTATTGCCCCCTTAACTGCAGCAGATGCAGACTGTGGACACCGTTCTACAGCACGGCGTCTCCTCAGTGCTCCCGGGGCTCAGTATGGTGAGCAGAGAGCGGCGTGGTCTGTCTGCACAGCGCGGCTGATGCAGTGACGCTCTGCCGTTATTCTTGGCACGTAACCCGACTCGGCGGCTGGCGTGTTCGGCGCCGGTGACAGGCCGCTGCGCCAGCGATGTTTAGCAGGTGCCGCCAGGGAGAGAGCCCACCTTACGGCGCTGACGGCGCCTCACAAAGTAGCTGGTCTTCTGGGAGCACTAGCACATGTCGCACCTAACTGTTCACTGTTAGGTTAGCCAATCTGTGACGAAGCGAACAGCTAAATGCGGAGGCAGGTGAACCTTCGGGGAATGACCTTTGCATTGGCTTCCCCAGGAATTCCTTATTCGGCTCAAAAGTACTTACTGATATGAGAATGAAGATAGAGAGTGCAAATTGCATTTCTTTTGCTCATGGTTTTGTGAATCTTCCTTTATTTTAACGACACTGCGACTTGACCCTTTGTCGTATGACAAAAAACTACACGCAGAAGATTTTCTGCCGTAGGCGCACTAACCATCTGATTAGTAGAAACTTGCATGCCAGAGAGGCTACCGCCGCCTTATGGTCGGCCGAAGGCATCGTGCTAGGCGGCACAGCATAGCTTCCGGGCGGTGCGGGTGCTCTGCCATCTAGCGGCGGGAATCTCCAACTGTCGTGCGGTACAGCATAGCTTTCAGGCGTGCTTGGTCCTGCCATTTAGCGACGGCAGTCTAAACTACCCGCCGCTCGGCCCGTGGCCCGTCGCGTGCTTTCTGGCTTGGATGGGAGATGTGGTCTGGAAGTCGGCAAAGTCGATGCGAATTACAACTGAGTTTCAAAATGCTACATTTTTGCTTTGATTAATCAAAAGTTTAGAACAAACGTGTTCACATAGTCGGACAGGGCCCGCCCCGCTTCCCGACTTCATCTGTCCTTTACTGCAATCATTGTCACTGACTGCAGAGTGCAGACAATCTTCGTCAGAAGTTAACAGTGAACTCTTGACATCAAAACGGATCGAACCGGGCTCTCGCCATTACACCGCTCGGCTCGGATAGCTTTGCGTACAGCACAGCTTCTGAGCTGAACCACCAAGATCCATGGCAATAACTAAAATAATAATCACGCCTCGTTTGACAGCGTCATTTCATTTTCAGGGGCTCAGTTCGCCTTCTCCATCTACGACTTCGAAGGCAAGGATGAGGTTGACGCCTACTACCTGGGCGACGTGCTGCGTGCGCTCAACCTCAACCCCACCCTGGCCATGATCGAGAAGCTGGGCGGACAGAAGATCAAGAGTAAGTGCATACCGGTGCTGTTTTTTTTTTTTTTTTAGCGAGCCGTTAAATACCGCTCGGTAATAAATATTTACTCCTTTGAATTGTTATTAACAAATCGATGATTTTTTTATTTCGTTCGATTATTTCGCGTCCACATTTTCATCAGTAATTCACTCTGTTAACGATTGCTGATGCGCAAGCTTGCTCTCATTTGTTGTGAGTTCTTGATCGAAAGATTCTACGATTTTTAATGACACCGTCTCTATCGTTTTGTTTACAGAGCAGAAGAAGCTGAAGCTGGACGAGTTCCTGCCCATCTTCTCGCAGGTCAAGAAGGACAAGGACCAGGGTGGCTACGAAGACTTCATGGAGTGCCTGAAGCTGTACGACAAGGCGGAGAACGGCACCATGATGGCGGCTGAGCTGTCGCACGTGCTGCTCTCTCTCGGTCAGTGACGCTCTCTTCCTCTTCTCTGCTCTGTCCTCTGGTCCTTGAGCCGTTAAGTACGGAGTGCGTATGATTGCTCAACAGTACCTATCAGCGTTCATCAGTATTGTAATGTTATCTCTCGTTTGTTAAAATGTTCGCCATTTTGCGTGTCATTTACGACATACATTGGCTATACGGGCTATACACATTACGCGTTTTATCCACTGAAATCAACTCCTATTCACTATAAATCACTCGCCTATTCACTTCAAGTTCACGTTGTTGCTGGGTTGGCCGCCCCGCTAACACCCAGGGAGCGGGTGTGTTTGCCGAGTCTGGTTTAGGGAGCTGCTCAGCCTGCTGACGCGGTAGCTGACCGTGCTGCTGTCCTCTCCAGGTGAGCGGCTGACGGAAAAGGAGGTCAACGACATCATGGCCGAGTGCTGCGACGAAGAGGATGAGGACGGCTTTATTCCTTACGAGCGTAAGTGGGGTGCACGGGAACGCTGGGGTAGCGGGAGGGGACAGTGATGGAGGTGATTGGGGCGGATCGGTATGGGCCCAGTGTTTTATTGAATTATGTTAGGACATGAGCAGTGAGCGTGTTTTTTTTTTTTTTTTTGTCTTGTTAACTTCGTCCTGCCTACATAGATTTTCATCACTTAATTTTAGCTCAAATTGTTCTGCAATCCCCTTATTGTTCAGGATTCGCAATAATTATCTGGGTGTTTCAGCTTTCCTTAAGAAACTCACCACCATGCTGAAATGAACGCGCAAAAATCATTTAAGTATATCATCAATGACGCGTAAGTGGTGCCTCAAGGATTTCAGTACTTAGTAAGAGCAGACGTATCGTAGGCCCTTAGAGTGGTCCAGAATCGTACCAGTGTGCCTGCGTTTTCAGAATTGCACGTATGATAGATATGCCCTAGCAGGGCTAGCCCAGAGTTCACCATTCTCAGTAGCGGGTTGAATGCGGTATCGAGGAACTGTCGTGATGATCCTACCTCAGTTTGCAGCAGTGGGTCGCAGCGGCTGTGGTGTCACACCGTTGACGTAGTCGTTGGGTAGTGTGACAGTGTGACACTGATTGTAGTATGTGCTGGTGTTTTGGGGGATGCTGTTGAGTTGTAGTTAGTTGCAGCGTTGTGTAGGTGAGACAGAGTAGATTATGACATGTCGTCTAAGAGTTTACAGTCGAGGGATTTGGCAGCGAGACTGCATGTGACCCACATGTGACGCTATTGATTGCAGCCTTCGTCAAAAAGCTGATAGCCGGCCCCTTCCCGGATGCGAAGTAAATTCGCAAACTTCGACATTCAAGCTCAGAGGTAGCTGCCCTATTGCTGACCGATTTACCACCCCAGCCACCCGGTTCCCGCATGTAGATTGCACCGTGTAGATCGTACCTTCACGCACCAATACCCCCATTGGAACAGCTACAGTTTGCCTCCGACGCACGTCACCTGAGCTGCCCCAACCCCGGAGCACTTCGGGGACTTAGCGCGGGCTCTTCCACCCCGCTTTGAACCACTCACCCTTGACATTTCACCCAAGCGACCTCTGAATGACGGCGCTTTTCAGACCCTATTGACCCCTGCAACCCTCTCTGACCAGCAACCACGGGTCTCATGACATACTTTTGAGCGTGCTCCTGCTCTCTGTAACAGCCTTGTCCAATCGGTGGCTCTGTTACAGCCTTTGTAAAACGGCTACTGGCCGGCCCCAACCCCGAGAAGAAGTAAGCGCGTCGGCGCAGTTCCTCCGCAGGTACACAGAGCCTAGCTTTGTAGCGTCTGCCGCCGTCACGTCTCTCTCGAACGGCTTCCAGCAGCTGTGCGAGCTTCGCCTCTGTAAAAGCTCAGCGAAAGGCACCGCGGAGAGCTTGCTGCTCTGCGTATTGACGTTGCCATACTGCCCAGTCGTCGCGCCATGCCGCTCTGTCCTACATGTAGACACTAGAGCTCACCACTCGTATGTGTGGACATCTGACCGCCAGCTTCAGTGATCGTCCAACGCCGACTAACTGGTGCCCGTGTGCCGCTTATCTGACCCCGCCTGACCCCGCCGGCTCGTCTTATCCCTAGGGTTCATCAAGCGGTTGATGGCTGGTCCTTTCCCCGACTCGGTCGCGTAGTGCCCCTATAGCAGTGGCCTCTCCAAAGTCTGGCTCGAAACAGGTAACTTGGTGGCCAGTGAATGGTCGCATGTCTGGAATGGAAAGAAACGGTGGTATGCGAATCCGCATGCAGTGAAAAGCGGTCAGTCCGATCCCGTGAAATCGGCAAAGTGACTATTATTTTAAGTTTACCTTCGGTTGGTGATTTCCAGCTGCCATAATCGTGTAACATTCTGTATATATTGAATTGTTTCAAGAGCACGTGCATTCGGCATGATTCGACGAATGATGGTGGGAAAGTGCTATCAATCCTCGAGCGGATGCTCCGTTGTACTCAAAGTTTCTTAATTCTTACTCAATGATTCTTAATTGACTTCTACATGTTGTCGTGATCTTCCCAATATTGTTTTCTCTGTCGAAGAAGACATTAATTTTATAAAAGGATGATTGATATTTATGTTGTACAGCCTGACACCAAACGATACTGAACACTTGAATATTGAAAGGAAGCGAAAAGAAAGCGATTTTGTGATCAACTATGATAGCATTGAAAGCAGACAACGCTACGTCCTCCCAAACGCTGTGACTTATGTGAACCGTGCATGCTTCCAGCTTGTGTTTCTCCTCCAGCAACTAACGATGATAAACTGGGAACGGCAGTACCTGAATGATGTATAAATCGCTCTATTTGCTTCGCCTGGTATCGCAATGTTTTATCTCATCGTCAATGTTTGCTTCGAGCAAACATTTATTTTCTTTTCATATTATCTGTATCTAGAAATGCTTTATTCATATTTCATTATCAATGGCGAATTCTCTAAGATAATTGATCCATTTTAGTTTTCAGTGGCTCATTAGCTTATATACAACAAATAATCTGACAATCGTCAACGTTTGACTCGCCCGTTTGACCGTCTATGCGTGTTTCCAGGTAAACGAACCAACATCTCGACCCATCTTTCACTGGGAGGTGGCCTCCCGGCCGCCGAGTCACCTGGCGGCCTCGCTCAGCAGCTGTGTGCAGTCTGCGCGTGGTGAGCGCGGCGCGCGCGAGCCGGCGCCGCCGCCGCCGACCGCCGCCGCCGCCCCCTCGGCCCGGGCGGCAGCGACGCGGCCGACACAGTGGCGGCGCCGGCCACCTTCACTTCCAGGGAATTTTTTTTTTATAAGCTCCGCCAGCTCGAACCCATACATATGTATATTTCACTCGTGATGTGTGCGTGTGAATATTGGTGCGTGTCGCGCGCCGCTGTGCGTGTGCGTGTGGCGTGCCGCGTCCGGAGCCCTCTCGCCAGGGCGGACTGAGTGCGATCTAGTCAGCTCCCGCTGCAGAGAGCGCCCCGACGTAAGTCGGTGTTGACGCTCTGGCGCGGGAGTGTGCGCGCCCGCTCCGCTGCCTGGTGCCGACCGGCCGGCGTGGCGGAGCGCTCGTCTGTCCGTCTGTCCGTGGTCGTCTGTCCGTGGTCCGTGTCGGTCCGTTGTCCGTTGTGCCCGAGTCCTTTCCGTTAACTTGACATCACAGAAGAGTCAGCATCATCAGTCAGTACCATCCGGCAAATCTGTTTTATCAAGTTTCGGAACAATATGTAAATAAATTTGTAAATTAAATGGATGTTTTTGTCTCACTGCACGGCATGAAACTGGAAAGCTCGATGAACATTAGGCACTGGGAGTGGGCCTTTTAATAGTATTTGCAACGTTGTTTAAATCATTGATGATGTGCGGATAAATACAAGGTTGGCACCCCATGGATGGTGGGATAACTGGGGAGCCTGTATTGGCAGACAGCTGGTCATTCGGTGACCACACGATGGTCAGAGCCCTTCTCATATCGGTCATCCCACTCCCAGATTAGTGTGAAGGCCGCTCTAACTCTGTCCTGGCTCAGTGCCGACATACCGCATGCCTGCTGACGCCCGAAAATCAGCGAGCCTGGCCGACCTGAGAGACACTCCGTCTCGTTTACACGAGTTATTCAAACTTCGCGCTAGCCCAGAGCCGGCATGTCGCACACTGATTCATTTTCATTGTGGCGCCTCTATGAGTATCCATACACTTGAAGTGTTGATTCACATGGTCCATTTCTGTTCAGTTATGTTTTATTTGCTTTACGGTTCACACCACATTTAAGAACGCACTTCTTTTATTTCTCCGAAGACTTTTTGTTGCAACGAGCTTCTTCAACATGTTCTTAATCCATTCGTCATTTTATCGTCGGTGTAGGCGTAAAGAGATTGAGTTAAACTAGGAGCTAAGGTTCGGAATTCTAAGCTTTTGCAACTGCTAATCTACATTATAATTCACGAATTACGAGCTCGGGTTTAATTGATGTTGATGCTTTCGTAATAATAGGCCAAGCGATTATTCCCTGTATTTAAAATGCTATTAAAGTTTACTGAAGATAAGTTACCATTACGCATCGCACTAAACCACTTGGTGGCTCCAAAGCATTGAAAAGTACCGGATTTATTATTGATTGTAACTATTTCAGATGGGTGTTCTTTAAATTGAATCCTTTCATAAGAGGAAATAAGTTCGGCAAGTACATACGAGTACAACCCGTCACGGGATATTCCTTTGAACACAGGGGAGTCAGTGGCTGGTCAGCCGCGGATCTCGTTGTCGATGTGCCAGTTGATCCAGTCGACGTAGTTCTGGACGCGCGTGTAGACGCCCGGGTAGCCGGCGGTGGCGCACTGGAAGCCGAAACTGACCACGCCCACCAGTCGCCAGCGGTGGGCGTGGCGAACGACCAGCGGGCCGCCCGAGTCGCCCTGACAGTGGGCAAAACGGAAATCAGATCCGGGATCAGTTGGGCGGGCCGAAATCAGTAGCCGGGCGGTCAGACACTCAGACACGGCCGAACGTGAAGCGGACTTCTCTGAGACATGCGTAGTGGATTCAGCCTAAATTTAGTCTGAGCAAATTGAGTGAGTGGAGTTTCGTGTTCAAAGCTCATGGCAGGCGGAGCCCATTCGATAATAATTCATAGGAGCTAATTGTCCCACCTGTTGAACGTGGTCGCTTTGCTGGCTGCAAGTGAAACTGTATGGGACTTAGTGCCAATAGGAGCTTATTATGTACATTATTCCAAAACACGCGGAACTGCTGAAGATACGCATCATACTGATCACTTGTTGCCTCATCGTATCCACTGTAGCAATAAGGACATCTGTAAATAAAACACTTTTCCTCGATTATCTTTCATAAATCTAATGGTTATTACCAAGCCTCCCTGGTTCGCCCACTGACCTGACAGGAGTCGCGTCCGCCGGCCGGCAGGCCCGCGCAGATCATGTTGCGGGTGATGATGCTGCCGTATGTAGTGCGCCTGCACTGAGCGCTGGACATTAGCGGCACGTGGACCTCGCGCAGTACGGCGCTGGGCCGGCCCTGGTAGGCGGTGGAGCCCCAGCCGGTCACCGTGGCCCAGCGGCCCGCGTAGACCGTCTCTGAGAGAGGGAGGGGTGGCCACTGGTCAGCGATTGTGTTATGGGGAAAGGCACATACCTATTCACTATTCAGTGACTGAATCTGGGGAAGGGCGAGTGGTCATGGGCCATGACTCTCATGGGGACGGGCAATTGGTCAGTGACGCCTCTACATACAGTACTCGTACATCATTCATTTACGGAATGCCAGCAAATTCACAAGAATTCGTCATAAAAAAACATGCAGAGTGACTCCAGCGTAATGAGTCATGGGTTCCAACAGTCCTATTCAATGTCCATTCATGTTCGACCCGGATGAAGTCAACTACGCTGTTATCCAGTCGGCCTCGTGGATAGACTAGCGACTGCACCCCAAGGCCCTTATGCAACCCTGAACGATAGACGGTCTCGCAGAGACTCAAGATGACACCCCAACTCCGTCGAACAGCCCTGAATCGCCCCACAGAGACTAGCCATGCCGCCCCCGACTCGTCTGGACAATCTCGGACAGTCCCGTAAGGGTTATAAGGGCAGTTATCCAATGGAACAACTGCTGACTTCCGGCCGGCGGAACGGCAATCTCCGAAACAGCGAGGTGCCGGCCTGACACCGTCTCATCTCTCCGTGGGGGGCCAGTGACAGTGGCCGCGGGGAACGCTATGCCGTAGTTATGTAAGCTAAATAATTTAGGGTTACGTTGGAATCTGGCAGCTCATTGCAGATTTACCGTTCAAGCTCAGATGACAGTGTCAATTCCAGCTTCGACGAGGTCGTATTTGTAATTGTAGTGGATTATTTGTGCTGATTTATTATGCTTACTAGTCAGTAGGCATTCTAAATGATCGCGCATTTCTATAACTGATACGGACAGAAAAATAACAGGATGTGAGTGTTACCTACCTACACATGTAGAGTGGTAACATACATATGTATACATACATATGTAGAGTTTTTCGTAAATATTGGTGCAAAATTAAGTTGCATTTCTTTTCAATATGTAGAGTGTATAAGCCCGTAGTAGCTTAGCACTACGGTAACAGTTCTCACTTCTTTCCATACCCTCACAGAAAAGTTGTTCAAGTAAAACTCTTACAAAATCTTAGATCCGCTACCGAAGCATCATTCATCTCTGTACACCAGATTGATAACACTGATAAATGCATATGGTGCATGTGTGCGCTAATGCCGCACGATGAGTAATGGATTCTGGCCGGCGAGAGACTATGATCGGCCAGATGGGAGAAGATCGGCCCGGGGGGAGGGACGGGAGGGAAATCGCCCGGCACACCACATCGTTAGCGGGCAGAATCGCCGGCTCGTTAGCGGTGTCTGACATTGCCTCCTGCGGGCGGATCGGAACGGGAGACGAGCTATCCCAGCAGATCGGGATGGGAACGGATGGGAACCACTGGCAGAGCTGAACGGGATACGGAATATCCCAGTAGATCGGAACGGGAGTCGGACTTTCCTGGAGGATCGGAACGGGAAACGGACTATCACTACGACTCGGGATACTGGAACGAGCTATCCCAGCAGTGCGGGACGAGCGATAGACAATGCCAGCAGGTCGTGAAGGGAAAAGGCTGTCCCACCGGCAGATCGAGCCGGGACTATCACTGCGGAGATTGGACGATGCAGACTATCCCTCCCTCCGGGACGGGAAGGATTGTCCCAGCAGATCGGACGGGCAGACTATCTCAGCAGAGCGATAAGGGAGACACACTATCCCATCGGCAGATCTCAGATCGGGAACGGGCAGGACTATCCCAGCAGCCCGGGATGCTAATTGGGACACGAACTATTCGAGCAGCAGCTCGTATGAGACAGAGCTAAGCCCAGTGGCTCGGGACGGTGACTGATTATCTCAGAAACACACCAAACCGGGACAAGGAAACGGACTATCTTGCCGACGACGGAGTAAAGAGAGAGAGAGAGAGAGATAACTGTATTTGACAGACTCGAGGTCCAGTACCAGTCACATCACATCAAAATTGTACCACTGTACAGGGCAGAGCACCACGCTCTCCGAATCGATGAATAACATGCCAGATCACTTTCATATAGGGAGGATACGATTCGGTTGTCCGTCTGGCTCAGGCGAGTCATGAATCCATAGACGGCCTTTCGATACATCGCCATAAAGTTATCGATTCTTTCATTCACAAACATGTCGGACGCACTACAGAAACGATGATAACCAAAGAACATTCTAGCTGCATTGTTGAAACAAACAGTAAATTTCCTTGACACAGAAGAGCGATAAGAATGCCACAGATGCACACCATGTACATTAGAACAATACGTAGAGTATAAGTACCGTTTCACATTATATGAGCACATTGCAAATTTCCTGATCAGGGAGTTTGCCCGACAACAAAGAAGACGATACTGATATTGGATTTCCAGATCATCAGTTTTCTTGGGGCTGCTGGTGATATGGAAGCCAAGATATTTGTACTGATCAACATAAGCTAGAACATTTCCACACAGCACAATATCAGGCAGGATCATATTTCGAAACAGTGGAGGCAGAATCGACATGCACACTGATTTCTTGGTATTGAACACAATATCATGATTCCCTGCATAGTCAGCACAAATGTCAACCATTTTTTGCAGACCCTGTGGCGTAGGGGATAGGAGCACCATGTCATCCGCATAATATAGGTGGTTTATACTCCCCAGATAATGACATCCTACACCACTCAAGTCCAATTTTTCTGACAGCTGGTCGGTATAAGCATTAAACAGGTACGGAGAGAGTATCCCGCCTTGCCTTACGCCATTCGTCACAGAGAACTCCTCAGAGAGGGTTTTACCCCAAAGCACATGATACCTCTGTGAGTCTCGCCACCGAACGAGGAGCCTTACAACGCTATTATCCATTCCCCTACTCAACAGCTTATCAAATAGAGTCCAATGGTTCACGCGATCAAACGCCTTTCTAGCGTCCAGAAAACAGACAAAGACTGCACTCCTATTGCGCAAATAGTGGTCCACAATTTCTTTTAACGCATACACAGCCATATCGGTGGAGTGGCCCTCCTTAAATCCAAACTGATGATCGCTAGTGAGAAGACTTGCTTTACATCGAGTGAGTATGACCCGCTCCAGTATTTTAGAGCTCACCGTGGCCAAAGCTATTGGCCTATAGTTATCCTTATCAGTCAATTTGCCTGTCCGATCTTTCACAATAGGGCGAAGTATCACCTTCGACAAAGAAGGAGGCAAGACGCCATGTCTCACCATCATCGAGAAACATAACGATAGATGCGTAGCACATGGAACACCCGCAAACTTAAAATGTTCTGCAGATAGACTGTCACAACCTGGAGAGCGACCTGACGACAGCTCATGGATCGATTCTAAAACCTTAGGAACCGAGAACATATCAGCACCTTCACCATCATTACGAAGCTGATTCAGAACACCTTCTTTACAGTCATCGCCATCAACACTATTCAGAATATCAGCAAAGTGATCCTTCCACATGTTCGCTATATTTTTCTCTCCACTGACGCTTCCAATAGACTGGGCCAGTGGCGGATCAGCGTTAAGCTTACGAACTTCTTTCCAAAAAGTTGCTAAGTCGCGCGGGTTTTTAGCAAATTTATCAGCTAGTGATTTTGCTCGCAGCTCTTTCTCATTCTTAAGACAAAAACGAAGCGCATACTTGAATTGTGACCTAGCCATTCGCAACTGGCTGTAGATGTAGCCCTGACGGGGCTTTCCAACCAGGGACCAAAGGGAGTAAACATCACCGAACAAGGTGTGTTTCTCCTCCACAAACTCGGTCCAACCTGGGATTGTTCGCTTACAGCTACCATGCGCTCGTTTGGCCACAGTAGTAAGAGTAGCACTCTTAATAGCATCAATTATCGCTTCATAATAACCATTGATAGCCTCTCTGTGGGCTACACTACAGTCAGTGGCAGCACAGAATATAGCCTCAAACGGTACGTCAATATTAGACAATTGCTCCCTCGCGGCCATAGCAAAGTTGTTCAGACCAAGTTCGTCAACAGAAGACCAATCAACTACCCACCTAGGATCAGATTCAGCAGCCTCGTGTGAATCCGGGATAGGATCGGTGGTCATGATTTCCAGATCACAACACACTGGGAAGTGGTCAGAACTCATAATCGACACATCAACCCTAACAGCACGAACGAGAGAGTAAAGACTCTTTGTACAGACTATGTGGTCAATCCAAGATTCTGTGCAACTGCCATCATTAGTATGAGTGATTGAACTCTGGGGCAATAACAACACATCAGCAATGCGTAAGTCTGCCTCATGACAGAATGATTCAAGTTCAATTCCAAAGTCAGATTGCTTGATGATGTCAGCATTAAAGTCGCCTACAATGCAGACATTGGGTGAGTCAAAATCATCGATGATTCCTTTGAGCTTAGCTAGATAGTACACGTATTGATCAAAGTTTTGTCTCGAGTCATACGGAAGATAAACCCCAACGAGAAGCAGTTTGTGGCCACCTAAATTACATTCTAATCCAATAATTCTGTCGTCATCAAAGGAGATAGGTCTAAAGTCAAACGGCTTCGATGGTATCGGAGAGATATCTAATAGATAATTCAAACGGTACCTACCTATGTAAGAGGAATATGTATATAATAGGTCAGCATGTAAACGTCGAGGGAAGCAGGCATTTCCAGCAGTACGAAAGGTAAAATCATTTGAACTTCAAACAGTCTCTTTCCTAAAAAAACCGGCGATATCAGCTGCCACCCCGGCAGACTTTTCTCGGAACACGGGCAGCAGGAGCGGCGCTCCCGCGGGCCTCTCCATCCAAGACGCAGTAGGTATACGGGCCAAATCGATACGGGACGGCGGCATCGCTCAGCCGCGCGAGCCGCTCACCAACTGCAGATGACCGCATTAGTAGCAGGGCCGCGGCTTTCAGCGAACAAATCGCGGCGGAGTTAGCTCTACGTAAGTACATATTAATATAGTTGCGCCGGCATGCCCATCGAACTGCCAGCTTGCAGCATCAATTTAACCATTGTGCAAAACGCTAAACGTTTACTCGCTCTCGGTTGCTTTAGAAATATTTTACACTTATTTGTGTTTGTGTTTCTAGGTGAATACAAATAGTTTTGAAGGCGATTTACATTTTTCGTTTTGCTGGCAGCCTAGCACATGTGTGCAGTTTTTATCCTACACCATCTCTCTAAACGAAAACTGTCGTTCTAATTTCACGATCCTGTGGATACGGAAGGCTAATACAGAACACAATTTTTGCAGCCTTTCATGTCGATGGAATAAATGGTTGGTGAATGATTGATGCTAATTTTCTATAAGGGCCGGTCGGATAGCAGAATGCTGCCTGCTCAGGTTTTGAGTGAGCCACATTGGCGGGCGGGTTACCTACCTACCCGAGGGCTACCGACGGAGGGTCCACCATTCTGTAGTTCAGCGTCTGCCGCCTGGTGTCGCTAGAGCCGTTGGGCTGCTGACACACCGACACCAACACGACGGACTAGCTATTTGTCGCTTGGCTAACTGCGTCTCTTTTGTGTTCGTATAGGAGTAATATGAACTGCTAAATATCACCTATCCGTGCTTCTATCCTCGGGATACAGAAATCCTTCTCCTCCACGCCGCAACCCCCTTCCGGGCTGGACAGGCAACTTTATCTCATGCGGGCTGCTCCCTTGGAGCGGCACCGCTGCTCCTGAGGGAGCGCACCCCGTAGCCGGGTGCAGTGAGTGCCTTGGGGCTGGGTGGCCTGTCCTCTGGACGGGCTCAGCCCCGGCGACTCACTAGGGTGCCTGCCCAGACCAATGTCTCCCCCTAATTCCTATCATCCTTCCGGCTCTGCAATGGTCTTGTCGACCGAAAGGGCCTAACCCAACAAAACAAACAACAAACTGCTAAATATTACATTAAATAATAAGCAGGCCGCAATACACTAAAAAGTGTGTTTCCTTTTGCACTTTACGCACCAGTCCCATCATCTTCCTATCAAAGCATCCGTCATATCTAACTACCTTCCAAATCGACCTATCTTCATGTTTGATCCCATGCCTTCTTGTTCCGCGCTGACGGCCACCCAATTAGACATTCGAAGAAGGCAACTCCAAAACAAACAAACAAGTCCCTGTGGGGTAACCGTTTGAGCGGCGAGGTCAGGTGGCCTGTCCCACCAAGGCACACCTGTCCCAACAGGATGGGTTTAACAGCTTTCTGTAAATCTGGTTGGTGAAAGGCAGCGTATTCTTTCATGGGTTTTAGTGGTCCTAATTTGCACTATGCATAGTATAACATTTACATAATGCCTTCTTGTTAGGCATAGCTGACCTGGAGCGCCTGCAAGTTTCGGTCCTGCACACGGCCCTGCTCCCTGCCGTTCTCCCTGTCTCCGCCCCTGCGGACGAAGCCTCCCCACTGCTCTCCCCTGTGTCCGCCTCTGCGGACGAAGCCTCCCCCATCCACTGTTCTCCCCTGTGTCCGCCCCTGCGGACGAAGCCTCCCCCATTCACTGTTCTCCCCTGTGCCCGCCTCTGCGGATAAACCTTCCCTCCCCAACCGCTGTCCTCTGTGTCCGCCTCTGCGGATGAAGCCTCCTCCTCCCTCCCACTGCTCTCCCCTGTATCCGCCCCTGCGGATGATGTCGGCAGCTGTCCGTAATGAGGGGCTGACAAGGCGCTCTCGGAGAGAATCGACGAGCTCTCCCCAGGGAGCTGGGCAGAGGGGAGGCAGGTCATGCGGGGAGGGTCGGGCAGAGCTACCGCCGAATGCGTGTCACCTTCTCTGCAGGCCTGTGGAGCCCTATACCTACTTATGACTCGCAAACAAGCTATAGGAAAGCGTGAATGACTTGCTTGTTTATGGTGTAAAGAAGTAAAATTAGAGTATCGTGCCTGTATAATTTAAGTAGACAAATATCCAATTTAGGATAGCGACATTGCGTCTGACATCCCTTGGCTTTTTTGGTCAGACGCGCTTATGACGGCAATGACCGTTGGCTGCGTATTTTTTTATGAAGATGTTTCTCTCGTTTTGGAATATGCTGTTTTGTACTTCGTTTGCATAAATGTTGGTTGTCAATTGTCATTATTCATTTCGCTCTGATTTTTTAATCCTAAGCATATCGATGAGTGAAGACTTATAGTATGTAGGAGTTCAAATTTAGCTCTTAGCTGTATATGGAGATGAACTGCCCCGCCCATCAGTGTCATTGCCCGTAAGGTCGACCAGCTCCCAATGGTCACCGATGATCAAAGGCCATTCTCTCAGAATGGCGACAGCCGAAGCCGTCCTAATAGGATTATCGCAATCGCGATACCGGACCTTCGTTGGACTCCGCTCTACTCTGCATCCCCACTGTCCTTTGAGGGGCAGACGGGCAGGTTCTCAGTACCTTTGTCGGGAAGACGGGGACAGTTCTCCGTACTTTTGTCGGACAGACAGGCGGGGCAGTCCTGAGAACCTATATACCTTTGTCGGGCAGACAGGCGGGGACAGTGCTGAGACCTACCTGTGTCGGGCAGACAGGCGGGACTGACTCGCGGCCCGAACTCGACCGGCTGCTGCAGGCGCAGCAGCGCGATGTCGTTGTCGATGGTGGCGTAGTCGAAGCGCGGGTGCCGGTGGATTTCGGTCACGTCGTGCACCCAGAATCCGTCGCTCGGGTCGGTGACATTATGTGCACCGAGGAGGACGCGTACTTCGGCGGCGCGCAGGGCACGCGGTCGGGCCATTCCCTGCAGAAACCTGCCGCCCGAGAGATGGGGACGGCGGGTTATGGGTAGTCATGGAAACGTACGCTATAGAACGGGAAATCGGAATTCAAGTTCTCTACGCAGAAAAGCTATATGGAGTGGCATTATATTGTAATGGACAATGGTCGCTTACCTCGCATGTGCTCTATGTTATGAACGCTATGCACGCATTGTCAAAGCAAATGTGGCATAACTGATGGAAGGTACATAACAGTAACGCCTATACCAGTGCGTCTGCGTGCTTCTTTATAAAGATGTAACGACTGTGCGCTATTTTACATAGCAACACCACGGACTACCGCCTTTGTCGCTCGCTGATCAGTAGGATCGCTGTCTCACATGATGGTGCAGTGCGCGGCGGTGACCACCAGTCGACTGCTGATGAGTGTACCGCCGCAGTACAGGGCGTACCGGGTGCCGGTCTTGGTGACGAGGCCCGCCTGCCAGGGCCACGAGCCGCGCACAGCCTCCTCACCACCCACCACCCGGCGACTCAGGCTGGCCGGCAGACCGCACACTGGCGCGAGAGGGGCACAGGGCGCGTTACTATATGTAGATACGACGGCGTTAGATATAGAAAATTTTCTTGTTGATCATGAAATCCTGATAATAATAAGACGTTCAGCAAACATGCCATATTGTTATGGCACATTCGTTTGAAGCACTTAATTTTCTTTTTCTTATAAACACTCAGAAGCAGATGTAGTTGTTTTGATGATTTTTTCCCGTCTGGTTATTTACAGTTCAATAATTTCTTCACTACAACACAAACGCACAATCTCACCTTCATTGATTGCGACCCGGTCATCTGCCACCATGTCACCGGATCGATCACTGATGGCTCCATCGAGGCTCACTGGAATGCTGCCGTAAGTCAGAGACACACAGAGGCAGAGCAGAGACAGAGTCAGTGTCACCATGTCGCACAGACACCCGCTCCCACCTTCACTGGACAGCTCGTCCGGCCTGACACACTCGCCCTGACACACCAGGCACTGACACACCAGGTACTCGTCTGGCCCAGGAACGGGGCCGAGCCAGCCATCAGCTGAGGAAATTACACAGCTGCTGCTCGGACAATTATACTCGGACCTTCAGTCTCCAGAGGTGCCCAATTGGCTTTCAATGTGGTCGCACTTGTGAACTTGAACGTTGCGCGAACAGTCAGTTGTTACAGGACTACTCGCATACACCCAAACGCATGTTGCCAGGACATCTGAACCTGTACCCATCTCTTAGTGAGTGTTTAAGACCCAGGCTGTAAAATGAAGGCCTTGGCTATGTCAGCATACTTAATGATAAATTGAAAAAGGACGCATTATTTAATAATCTACTTAAAGGGACCCTCCCACCTTAACATTAGACTTGAGTTGAGATAGCCAAAATGGGGTAGCCCTGGCTCACAATTACCGGTTTCGGCACTCACAACATCGAGAAATGCCTTAAATCGGAAATATTGAATTTCAAAATTGCAGCATTTTGATTCAGAGGGGCTAATGCTTAGGAATACCCCTCTGAATGTGTGACGTCAGCGCAAATATCTAACGATTTTTAAATGTTTGACTAAAACGTTTTGTAGCACGCGGTGATATATGCTATTTGCGCGCAACATCTGCCGCAAACGCCGCACTTCCAGGGGCGCGGGAACTACTTTCCGACTGGGGGGGCACACCATAATAGAGATCAACCTAGGGTACCCCCAAATCTAGTTTTCTCACCGGTTTTAGGCCACTTATTTTTCACCCCTCGGCTTTTTCAACAAAAAAAGAAAACATTTGCAAAAAAAGTGTGGTATTCCGTCTCAAAGCTGTGGGGGCACCGCCCCCACGGCCCCAGAGTTGGGGGGGCAAGCTGCCCCCACTGCCCCCCCGGCTCCCGCGCCTATGCGCACTTCTAAAATAAAGTCGCTAGAAACAGCGGAGATCCCAAAAAAGTAAACAAAAGTAAAAGTCTAATATCTTGAAAACCGGTGAATATTTTTCGGTGATATTTGGTAGATATTCGTTTTCGCTCTTTCTGAACCGAGCGACATCACTTTCATGCCAATTCATAAACTTTTTTGAAGGTGGGAGGGTCCCTTTAAGAGTTTTAAGAGTTTCTTCGATACACTTTTGGGTGACTTATAAGAATGCAGTTCACTCAGCAGAATTCCTTTCCTCAGATTCGTCACCAAATTCCTTCACTTACCCAAGCCACTAGAAGCTCGCCGGTCCCACGTACTCGGCCTACAGCCCTAGCTCAAGCTGCTCGCCAGGATCCACTGGAAGTTATGCTGTTCCGCACAGCACGGCGCCAGGATTGACTGGAGGTTATACTGCGCCGCACGACACAGTATCGCGCCAGGATCGCCTGGAGGTTATACTGCGCCGCAACACACAGCGCCGCGCCAGGATCAACTGGAGTTTATATTGCGCCGCACGATGCATTCACCAGCCCGCGGCCATCCGGGCTGAGCCGGAAGGCTTCGGCGAGAGATTCGGGTGCGTGGGTGATCGCTGTAAGAAGAGCCTGGACTTCAACTGCAACAGCAGCGAATGATTTACTTACATGCGCAATGTCACAAATGTTGTCCGCTTTACCGTTGTCACTTTGTATTCTCATTGACGTTTAATCTTTATTCTTTAGAATTGCCGTATGTTTTGATTATCAACTGAAAGTACGGGTTCGGTCTTAATAACAATGTTGCACAGCACACACTTTGATACTACTATTTTAAAGACATAGTTTTTAATACTATGTAGGCCTATTTTCTTTTTTTTACTCTTCGTCGAAGATGACACATGGCCGTCAGCGTATCCCAACAAAAGCACGACGAAGAGCAGTTCAGCATTAACTAGCATAACCATTGACAGCACCCTATGACATTTCTCCTCCGTCGTCCCCAGCGGCCGGTGGCGGGGACGGGCGCGGTGGCTGCCAGCCCGCCGCCTGCCCAGTGCTCAGCGCTCACGGCGGGCCGCCGCGCCGGTCGGGCGGGGCGGAACGGCGAGAGATGCGCCCCGTTATCGCCGGAAGGGCCCCATTCGGCAGCGGCCCGCGGCGGATCGCCTGCCGGCCGGCTGCTTTAGTGTCGGCGCCCGGAAACACTCCTGGCGCCGGCTCAGTGGGGGCCGGGCCGGCAGCCGAGAGGAACTCCAAAGGAGGGACATACTGTCTGGATTGAGTGGGAGCAATCGCGCCAGAGGCCAAGAGAAAATTCAGAGGAAGGACATGCCTACTGTCCGGGCTGTGGGAGATGACGCGCAAGTGACCCAGATGTAATGTTCTTTCTTTGGGTGAATGCATAGCGAAGTTACAGCCTATCCAAGCTACTGCCTGCCGCCTGGGAAGTCACAGACATAGATCTATGGATCATAAAAAAATCGAAACAAGTTATTCTGATACTGGTTGAGCCGGAAGGCAGCACAGATCGTGTAACAAAAGGCAATCGGTCATACAATTTGTTCAAATGTTTGGCCGAATGACGACATCGATGAGTGGTTACGACATAACGAAGTAATTCGGTGCTGGTGCTCTCGAAGAGGCAGGTGTCATGACTGAGCGCGCACCTCAGCTCACATGCCAGCTCCTGTCGGTGTCAGTGAGATCACGTGACGCCACGTCTCCGTCCTGATGACGGTCACGTGCTCATATCCGGCGCGCTCTGCGCTGTTTCCGGTGTCGGGATGGTGGAAACATCTCTGAAGGGGAGTCAGCTGATGAGGCGGGGCGACCAGTGCTGTAGCTACTTACATACATACCACGACAAGAGAGGCATGTGCGGCCACGGGGTGCCAACCTGGTGGATGATTTTTTGTGTGTTATTGAAGTGAAGTTAGATACGAGAACATAGAACATAGAACATAGAAATCTCGTACATAGAAGAAGAGTTTGTTGGAGAATGTTGAAATCACTGAACCGTTGAAGCAGTATTTGTCTTCATTGTAGTTAATGGTAGGAATGTGTTTGACTAAATGCTCTCGTAATGATAATATGAAACGATATTATGTAACACCGCCAGTACAAGACGGCGTCGACAGTTGCAAAAATGTACGCCCTCGTTACGTCCAAACTCCCGAGTCATTGTCATTAGGGTCAACGCCATTAACACGTTTCTGCTTTTACCTCTATAGGTTTGCCTGAAGGCCACACTGGGACTTGAGCGTCAGTTGCTTAAAGCGTCGATGAAGAAGATATTGGTCAATGTTAGTACATAAAGTGATTGAGTGAGCAAATAGCCAATAACGCCCATATTGGCTTGCATGTAAGCACGATCGCCCGGTGAGCACATACATGAATTGTTCATTCATTTCCATTGTACCATAAACGCAAAAATTCCGCAATCCTTATTTAGTTTCAAATGTCCGCAATAAAAAGTATGTCCTGTAGCTCTATTTCGTATTGCATTTCCAATCTGAGACAACTTATACGGATCATTACAGTGTCTCAGTCTCGTTATCATACAGTCTTGTAATAGCCTTAGCCATTACGTTCAGGTAAAGGTCCTCGTTTGTGCCATCGCTCAGCCTCTGGAGGTGTGACCCACAGACAGTCCCCGGTCGATTGGTATCAGAGCAGCCACCAACCGGCTGGAACCTTAGGCAGCCCCTCTCCGTCGGCCGTCCAGACGTGCACAGTGCACACTGCACAGTGCCGACACCTCCCGCTGCGCCAAACACCGGTATCCGGCCGCCAGGAGATTCCACTTCAATAAACACCGGCTCCGGGGGGCGGCCGATCGACGCTGGAGAGAGCCGGCCGGCGGCGCTCTCAGCTGGGAGACGGACGGACGGTCGACCGCAACAGGTCGTCGCCGGCGGCGGCTGCAGCCCGGGGCAGCGCGCGCGCCCGACGGCGGCTGCGCTGCCCGCCGGCTGGCGCAGTTCGGCGGCCCCAGGCGGTCGGAGCGGGCTGTCCCGTGGAGAGACATGGAGCTGTCGACAGCGGTGTGCGACACTCCTGCAGACAGTGGCCGCCCTGAGTGACACCATGAACGAGCGGCGCGGCGGCGGCGGCGGGGTGCCGCTGCCCATCCAGCTGTTCCTCTGGAGGCAGACCAGGTACGGACCGGGCGTGCCGGGCGGGAGAGAGTTATCCCGAAAAGGTCAAATACGTGGTCAGTTTTACTCTCAAAAAGTTAAACTGTTTGGAAAGTTAAAGTCACGTGACAGGACCAGCTCATTTGACCCAAGCTTGGTAGCCTGAGCGTGAGATTTCGACACATACGTCCTGGGATGATAAATTCTTCCCTAAGATATCATATTTTTAACTCCTTTATTAAAAATGCAGTCTTTTGTGTGTTTTACGGCTACTCAATAGCATCACGTGATTTCGCATACACTTTTTGTGGATTTTCAATCAAGTATTAATACAAGGCTTTTATTTCAGCCCATTTATACGACCGAAGCTGGGAAAACTTCATGAGGCAACATGCGTGGTAAGTGGCTGCGAAGTCTTCTTCATATCCGCCATTAGTTGATCCCTGTAAATTCTATTGAAAAACTGAAATGAATGCACGCTTTTATTTTTTAATAATTCATAATGATTAAAACGGTGAACACTTATGCTTTCATTTTAGTCACTATTTAATAGTGCATAAGCAAATGTTCGTGAATACATCTGACGATTTAAGTCGAAATAAATGAAGATAATACTTTCCTATGTCTATTTTAGATAAAATTCGCCAATAACAGATCAAATATCAATGACATAATAAATACTTTAAAAAATGAAGCAACATACGATTCAACGTATAGGGCAAGTCAGCAATGTGGTAATAAAGCATGATTATGTTTTACCTAAAGAGAGTAAGAAAACGGAGGACAGGCAACGACGCATGAATTCCTACCGATTTACGCCAAGAAGAAGCTCTCGAAAATAATTTCAGTTACTTGACTTCACGAAGACTAAACTGCATTTCGAATATACAACATCCCGGATTATTTTTGTACCATCACCACTCAATGCCTTTCCGTTATTTATCCTCATTGGGTATAAAAGTCGGACAATTAGCTATCCACTGCGGCATAAAAAGCGCAAAGGATGATGGAAGAATACCTTTTAACGCTTACCTCTAAGAGGGGGGCTCAAAAAGTTCCGGGCCCGACCACGAAGGAGTAGAGATACGGCATCGACTTATCCCGCGCCCCAGTGGCGGTCTCGGCCAACTTCGCCCTAGTGAGGGGGGGGGCACATGTTACCACCCACCTCTAACTCAAAAACTAAGAGGGCTAGAAAGACGCGGTAAAAAGCAGTCGATAGCTCTCAATGCGTACGTTTGAAAGTATTTCGGTCATTTTTCATCTTGGAGCAATATTGGGGTCACTGGAGGTCATCAAAGGTCAAAATTTGCCAAATGTCATTATATTTTTCAGAAAACATGCTTATATCTCAGGAACTATGATAGCTAGAAAAACGCACGGAAAAGCAATCGATAGCTTTTGAACTCTTCTTTCGATAAGGTCATCATCAAAATTGACCTCAGGTCAACGGTTTAGCCTCCAGAGGGCAAAAACTCCAAAAATAGCTGTTTTTTCGCAAAGTGTTTTTCGACAATAACTTTTGACTAGAAAAAGCAACGACATTTCTATTGCCAGAATCGTGTTCCTCTCGACGAGACGCGTTGAATGAACTATAATTTGACCTTGAAAGGTCAACTTGAAAATTTGACCTCAGGTCAAGGTCATGACCTGACCGGAAAAGGTCATGTTGCATATCATTCGATGCGTCTCAACAAGACAAACACAATGAAGCCATCCCCAGCGTTCTATCTCTTTCCAATCGCGAGTTATTGGCAAAAATCTGTTTGTAGCCTCAAATGACCTCGGATGACCTTTGTAGAGGCTATCAGCAAAAATGACACCTTGGTCATCACGGGTGGTCCAAATTATTGTGATTCTGAAATATTTGGACTGTTCCCAAGCGTACACACGTATCTAGAGGCATTTTCATTTTTCTCCATTGACTTATAATGGTAAGGTCACGCCACTGACCTGACCTTAGGTCACGGATATAAAAAATCCGAGATATACAAATTGTAGGCGCCTATAACATCATGCAATCCACCAAGTTTGAAACCTTTCTGACAAACACTGCAGGCTGGACATGATTGCAAACTTTTTTTTAGGCCTGGTCAGTTAACTTGACCTGGTGACCTGACCTGGCATGACCTGGGGTAAAAAATTTCACACATTGTCCAAAATTGATGTACGAAAAGCTATGCCAAGCGGCGCGGCGCTACGCGCCGCGGTTTTTTATTTATACGCAAAAAACGCGACAGGGTGGTAACATATGCCCCCCCCCCACTGGGGCGAAGGTTATAAGACCAAAAATGTTCATTTATTAAAAAAGCCACCGTTAAGACGAACACATTTCGCGCAGCGCCTCGCGAGAGCCCTCAGGGCCTCCACAACTAAATGGGGCTTGGATCTATCTGGCACGTCCAAGACGGCTGCTTTAGTCTATCTGGTGTCCGCGAAGTTGTGACGGCTAAGCAATTTCCTTAATTGGGGAAGAGGTGGCAACCAGAGGGTGCAAGGTTCGGAGAAAAGAGTGGGTGTGACATGACAACTTGAAGCTACAGCTCACTGCTTCGCCAATCATAGGGGAAGTTGGGGCAATGCCGGAGTTGGGACAAAGCCGAAATTCGAGATATTTCGAAAACCGTAAAACATGGATGCCACCTGTCAGTGATGCTCTGAAGCTTAAGTGACTACAATTATCGCATGTTTGTTACGAGTCGTCATTCGGAATACTTCGACTGTGAGGGCGCCAAGAGCGTTTTCAAGGTACGTTTCCCTTGTACTACATGCGCCTTTGAAGCTGCATTTTTTACTCATTATGCTACCGTTTGTCTGGCCAATTCGGTCAAGTAATCTTTAGCATGTCTTTGCATAAGTGTGCTGCCTATTTGAAATTTATACAGCACGTTGAAAAGCTATGGGCCTGCAAATGAAAGTATGGCTGGCTGGGGTAATGCCGAAAACGTGCGATTACGCACGTGTTAAAAGCACGCTACGTGGACTTTACTGCTGTAGAATAGCAACGCGTATTTTTAGTCACACAAATTACACTTTCAACCGACACAACGGCCTATAAGGAATTATTTACCTGGCATTTTCTTATTATATCACACAATTATAACTTCCAGTGTGCACCGCGTCCTCAAGCTCTTGAAACGTGTGTCAGCTTTGATGAATTCTGGATAAAGTTTGAGATAAAATGGCAAAACATCAATGTCGGCATTCCCCGTAGATCATTTCTCCCATTTTCGGCTTTCCCCGCAGTCCGGGGCAACGCCGAAAAAAGTCACTTCTTTGATATTTTTAGTTTGTGCGCTTAACGGTATGTGAATTCATCAAATGCGCCTGGTATGTTTGAAAGGCAAAAGACTGGCCTCTCGAATGACGCCAACAAGAATAGCGTATGTTGTCTACCTTGCGTGCTACGGGCGTCAGAAAAAAAGTCTTCGGCGTTCCCCCAACTTCCCCTAAGGCAGATTGGTTAATGGCTAAGCAACTGGACATCCTAAAAACACATCATTGAATACACCGCGTTGCAGGCCGAAATAACAACTTCTTCATGGTTGGGCCCCGGAACTTTTTGAGCGCCCCTCGCTAATTATGCATGGTTATGCTAAAAACGAAGCTTTACGTGAGTGAAGATAACAAATAGAAGACAATATTCATTCATTCAATACTCATTAAATGCAGTACACCAATTTTCCCATCACAGTGATTCGCGGTCGCTGCAGTACAGGTGCTTACCTACTCTCGGCGGCCGTCGATGTTGTTGGCTCAGTCAGTCTCTCTGGGTCGGCCACCGCCGCGTGGAGGTGTCGGCTGTGCCAGTAGCCACCTGCAGCCAGCTGCCCTGGGGTATTTACCCTCACGCCGGGTCGCCGTAATAAATTGTTTATCTGGCGTCTGCTACAGGCGCGTGTTTCAGAGAGTCGGCGCACGGCTGCTGTTTGTGTGACCTGTCCTCCTCGGGTGCACGCGTTTGGCGGTGGGTCAGCGTCATATTGCATACATATGCCATCCCATTATGCCGCCGATGTCTGCCTGTAGCCAGACCGGTCGGTCTGTGGCCACCTGTGGCTGACCCGAATGCTGTCCGCCGCCGGCCACCGCCAGCAACAGAGATTGTTAGCGCGAGAGCCCGCTTGGAACCGCCCAGAGCGTTGCCATAGCGACCGCGGAGGAATCGATCTGGCCCGCTGACCGAATGTGGAGAGTGGCGTCCATCACCGCGCGCACGGCTGACCGACAAAATCGAATCGGGCCTTATCGCCGCTTGCCAGGGAGCAGCGGCACTGACATCGCGGCGCAGGGCCGCCGCGGGGAAAACCGATAATGGCCCCGCCGGCGCCGGCGCCCGCGGCCCGTCCGTCGGCCCTCCCGGCAGCCGATACCATATAGATGACATGTTGTGACTGCCCGGGTTTTTAGGGCCGGCGTCTTGGACCGAGCCTTCCGCGGAGGTAAAAAGACTCGGTCTGGCGGCCTCCGTGACGGCTCGCTGGATCTGAGGGTATTGATCGAGCCCGGTGCCCCAAGGCTGCTCTGCTGGCGGCGGCGGCGGCGGTGGTGGCGGTGGCGTCTTCAGCGCACGCTCAGCATATCGCTACAATTCGGCCTTCCCGGCCCGACCGCTACCAGATGCGAGACGCTTCATTATGCCACCGGCAGGATGCGAGTGCGACGCCTCGGGCCCGGCCGGGAGGCGACGGGCCGCGAAGAATAGTGTTCTGGTACCTACCAGCGCGAGCGCGACGATTTGCCCCTTCTAACTCAGATGGATCCCTAATAATGAGATGTGTCTTGACAAAATTTTAGGCTTCATCGAGAATATATACCGGGTGGCCCAAAAAAAAAACGTTCCGAACTTTGGAGGCCTGTATCTCAAATTTGAGTGCAAATAACGAGCCAAAATTCTCATAAAGTTTGCGTCACTTGTTTGCGCATTGGTATGTCAAATTATAACACTCTATCATAATTTTCAAGCCAGCAATCTTATGTTGAATCAAGTAAGACGTTTTTGCTTTTTTTGCCTATGTTGGACGGTAGTGATGATTGGCTTAGACGTACCATGTTAGGAAAAAAAATAGAAAAATGGAACACGTGAATGAAACCAGCACGTGTGTTGTTGTTTTATATATTTTTGTCCCACTTAGGTATGTGCCGAATATTCAAATACTGAGCCAAAATGGTGTTAATGGATGCAATTCGTTTCAACACTAAGTCCTGTTTCGAGCAGAAGGAGTGGCACGGTGCATGGGTTACTGCTGATCGCCCTCCCTTCAAGAAGATCAAACAGTAAATCGACCGAATAAGGAAAAAAGCTAGAGGGAATGTGCCACTCTAAGGCCTGAACCATCAGTGAGGCTAGTTGCCAGTAGCAGTCATGGCTGCAGGCCGTGGTACCGAAATGGAAGTGGCCCGTTAACTCACATTTTTTTTAGTAAACATCTGAGCAAAAAAGTAATTTTTACATGGCATGCTAGAAACACGAACCATTTAAAAAGTAATTGCCCAAATAATATAAAAATAATACAATTTACTGAAAATAAACGCCGCATTGACTATTCGAAGTTTCAATGTTGTGTCTTTATCATTTTCTGAGAAATGTTGATTTAAAGTTGGGAACGTTTTTTCTGGGCCACCCGGTATAAAAAGCCCTGGATGTAATGACATGACGACTGACAAGATAATCTAAATTCCAAATCTTCTTGAAAGCCTCAAAGGCTCGAAAATGCGTCGCAGTTAGTGTAGGGGAGAGTGGGGAAAGATGCCCAGGGTTTGACTATGTCATATATTATTCGAAAATGACGATCGGAAAGCCAAAACTTGGAGTTTCAACGGAAGCCGACATCATTTTTCTCCAAAAATATCACACGTTCGTGCCTGAAATATGATAACTTTTTTTTGCTATTAAGCATTTTCCTGAAGAAGTGAAAGGGGGCATCTTACCCCACAGGGTGGAAAAGACGCCCCCTGGCGTTGGGTAAGATGCCCCCTGCACTAAAAGTGACATAAATAGGCACGTGAATCGCCTGAACGAATCAGTAGTCCCTTCGAGCCTGCGGTAGACACCAAACGTCATCGTAAGGGCCCTCAAAAGTAGTCGTAAGGGGCTTCAGAGGTCATCGTTAGGGCCATCATAGTCCAGCGTGGCCAAACAAGCCTCCGTGGTGGCGTTCGGAGACCACTGTGGGGCCCTTATAGGTCTTCATGATGCTTGAGGGCCCTGGAGCTCATCGTGGGGACCTCAGGTGCCAGCGCGGCCCGTGGAGCCAGCGTGGGAGCCCTCAAAGGATGTCGTGAGGGGCCCTGGAACCAATAATGGAGCCCACAGAGGCCGTCGTGAGGGCTCTCAGAGTCAGATGCCGCCCAAAAAGTCGCTGTGTTGGCCGAGAGACCGGCATGGGGAGCACCCGACCGTACCGGACTCTCAATAGTCCCAGATCGGCTTTTGTCTCTCATCAAAAGTATGTAATAAATGATTTGACGGGCTGCTTGAAGGACAGCCTACGGATTTAGGGGGGCGTCTGTCCCCATCAGGACAGGGGGCATCTTACCCCAAGGTACCGAAGTAACATTAAATCAGCACAATTTTTTAGCCATAAAACTACACCCTGAAACAAACTGTTCGGGACACAGTACACGCATGTTAATGTATCACGACTATAGCAAGGGACGCAAAAATTATCAACCTTCTTTGATATTTACAATGTTTTGACGCCAAAATATTTTTTGAAAGCAGCAAATAAAAAACATGCAATCACCAGCCAGCCGTTGCCCAACTGAGCTTCGCAAATTTTTGTGCAGTTAACAAGGCAGGCTTCCGCTTTACGCTACGAACATTAATTTCCAGGTTCGATTCTTTGTTTCCCCGCTAGAGGGGGTGGGGCGTCTTTCCCACCCTGGGCATCTTACCCCACTCTCCCCTACTTCATGTTTTATTAAATACTGTGTTGAAATGGAAATGAGAACTCAAGTGGTCAAGCGAATATTGTTGTTCTAAATCCTTCAAATGGTCATGGGTGATGTGTCCTCCTGTCAATAAAAGAGCACCGCATTCTGCGGGAGTCACATTCAACTATTGTGGAAGGTGATCAAGTATCATAGAGCAATATGGATAAGTATACTTACGATGTTAAATATTTACGAAAGGGCTACGAAAAGAGCAAATACGACCAGCATCAGGCAGAGCTGTGTCCCTACAGTTTGCTTTCTGGGAGGTAGGCTGTCCCGCATCACACAACGGGCCGGCGGAACAGCATCTAGCCGTGCTCGCGTTGTTTTTGCAGTTCTGTGAGTTGACCAGTGAATAGCAGATGCGTGTCAAATCGAGCATTTACATTGCACGCCTAACTTTCCGCCTTCTCGTCGAGTTCCAGCTTTCGCAATTAGTTAAGTATATTGGCCTGTTGCTCTTGTTTTCCTTACTGATTTCTCTCCCAACTTCAGAGTTAAGCGTTCGATACCGTCAGTGCAGCGGCGCGAGACGACGACACATTAGCGAGCACCCGGACTGTGTGCCCTCAGGCGGTCACGGATACTGCCAGTGCTCAGTATCGCATCTCGCCGCGGCCGGCAGGGTTATCCAGGCTCCGGCGCCGATGGGGTGGGGCGGAAGGAGGAGCGGGCTGCCGGGGCGACCCGAGCGCTGATGGCAGCCTGGCCGCATCCGTCAGCATGGTGGCACGACGATCAATAGATAGGGAATCTGCGGGCGGCCGAGCGGCCGGCCGGCCGGCAGCCACCCGAGCCAGATTAGTCCTGCCGTCGGACGAGATGCCGGCCGGTCAGAGGTCCGTGGGGCTGGTCAGATGGGTCCGTCAGAGGGGTTCAGTCAGAGGTGTCGGTGGCGGTGACCGTCATGACCGAACGCTGACTACTGACGACCGGCGCGTGCCTACCGCAGGGTACCCCAATGACTTTCCCAACAATGGGCTGTGCGGGCGCCATATAGCCGGGAAAGTTCCGTCCGGGCGGGCTCTCAGACAGTCGCCACCGTCGGGTGCGCCGAATGCGATAAACAGTTCCGGCGGGCGACTATTTACGTGGGGCGCCAGCCGGCCGACGGCCCGGTTACAGCCGATTACTGCCAGCAAACGGCCGCCGACTGCCACGCGAGCTGGGGCTGTCCCGAGGCGAGTATAGGCCACCAGCCAGACTGCAGCTCAGAGCGCTGGATCATAGGCTGGATCTAGTGTCCCAAAGGCACCGGCAGGACTCCCGGGTCCGTCAGTGCCTATATCGACCAAGTACTTCTTCCGGAGAGCGGAGCTGGGAAGGACAGGTGTCTGTATCCGTTCAGGCCTTCGTTGAAATTAAAAACTGCTTAATTGCCTGTGTTCTTTGTCCTCTTCTATCGAAATACTTTTATGAATTGCAAATTTATTCAGCAATGAACTCATTCTACTTATTCAACTTATTCAGCAATATAATATAGGCACCTAAAACATACCTTTAGCCATATACATGTGTTTCTAGTTACATATCACGAGAAGGATGTATAATGAACTGCAGTAAATGAGAAAATTGGGTCAAACATAGCAGCTTGATGTTCGAATAATGTTTGAAAACTATTTTCAGTATTGTCAAAGAGCTCCAAGTCACCATGTAAGTCACCTCAATGTCATGGTTCAATGTTTTGTCGTGGTGATGGATACAAATTTCGTCGAGGCACGTTGTGGAATGCAAGCTTGTGTGGTTCGTTCTGGTCGAGTAGAATCTATCTTTCATTTCTGGGGTCAGCCCTGTCAAATCTCACCCCATCCAAGTGACGGTAGTAGAAGTATAGCTGTGAAATGCCCTTAGAAACGATCTCGCTTGGTTATGCTCCTAAGAAAACATTATTTAGTTAGGCAGATGTGATTGTTTTCTATAAATCCTTTTCCATCTGCTTAGCGATTTCTTTATTGTTTTTATTTCGTGTAACATGTTGACTTGAGCTTTATACATCAACAAGGCCTGCATTTGACGTACATACGAGTGACATTCATACATCGCCCTACCATTGCCGTATATTTTCCCGACTGTGCGCCCTCGTTGACGGTTGGTACTTAGTCTCCTAGTCTCCTGACGTAGTCTCTCGGTTTAGTGCAGCACGTGTGAGGTGTATACCAGCAGGGAACAGCGGCTCCGGTAGTCTGTTGGAATGAGGGCCGGCGCGGTGGTGGAACCCGCCTCAGCAGAGCATGTGCCCACTTTGACCGCCGGCCGGGACTTTGTCTCTTTCTGGTGACATCAGTGCATGACGAGAGGGAAGAGAAAGGGCCTATTCCATCGCTGTTCAGCATTCAAATCCTTTCTCTCGAAAAGATTATGTGCAGTGTTTAGGGATGCTGTTAAAAAGGAAATTGTTCACCTTTCAGTTTACGGAGTGTGTGGTTCTAGTCAGTGTTTGGGACCTGCTATATTTTTGTCTGTGGTATTAACTTTATTTTTCCGAGTGTCCGTACCGATGCTATGCATTCGCAGTATGTGGTAAGATTTCATGTTCAATCATATGCCGTCACTACATCATCGTCTGACTAGCGTCAACATGACTAAAGCGAACATATTTATTGACAGCTGCCTAAATGATGCGTGCTTAGTCATTACCTAGTCTGGACGCAAAACATCAAAATAAACATGGAATACACACATGCAATCATAGCGCATATCATAAACACAAACAAAAACAAACATCACGAAGTTATCCAATGCACGTATATGTAAGCATGCATGTTTAATCAGCTACATCCCGACATGCATAAATACATTTACTCGTATATGCATACTACATACATACCTACATACACACTATAGTCTCCCACATGGTTTCACCCATTACTTCCTTTACACTAAATCAGTGACATCTCAGCACCCTCTGCGCTAACGAGACTAGCCGCCACCATTAGCTGAGGCCAGGGCAGGGCCGGAGGGGAGACCCGCTCCGTGCTCTGCGGCGCTGCACGGAGGCAGACTGACCTATACGGCTGTATACTGACGCACCCCGGTCTCTTCCTCCCACCCTCCCCCTCTTCACCACCGCGTCACGCTGCCCAGGAGATGAAGGAAGCCAGCAAGGTGAGAATTGGCGATAATTTATCAGCTCCGTCCGCGCCCGGTGGCGGGATGACTTATGTTCGTAAGGCTTCTTTAGCTGCTGTTGTGTAGCTTCGCTCTTTAATTTTAGACTCATTGTGTATGCTGCTTCGTTTATCATTCTCTAAACACTTATCAAGTCAACCAAGATTCCATGGGCGTAGGAACCTCACGAAAAGTGTGTGTGTGTGTGGTGGTGGTGTGGGGGGGGGGGGGGGGCGGCGAAACTTCAATGTCACTTTGTGAGAGCCTAAATACCCCTGTGAAGAAATTCTTTGCAGTTTTGTTCTCATCTCATCTTGCTGAACGGTTTCCCGCTTTTAATTTTGTATTTAAATCAAAAATAAAGATTTTTCTTCTAAAAAATGGCTGGAAAGTGGAGGCAATGGCCCCCCGCCCCGCCCCGCCCCCATGTTCCTACGCCTATGCAAGATTCAACGCTTGATTGTGAGTTGTGTGGTGTCAACTAACCTTTGTGTAATTACGTGAAGCAAAGTTAAACGGTCCTTTTCCCCATGGACAACTGCATGCTATTGTAATGCTTTTTTGTATCGTGAATATTTGGCATTTTATTCATGCCTCGAAAAAAAAAGCATCGATATGTTCTGATGGCCACTAAGTCTGAGGTCCTTATCGTGCCAGTCCAGTCAGAGATTCGCGCTCACTTCAATGTTGTATGGCGCTGTTCGTAAATACGGAGGCCTATTAATTTTTTCGCTATAAAGTCGCTCATTCGATTCTATTCAGATAAACACGAGGCATTCATGAGCTCATATACCCAACACGAGTGAAAACAAGTGTGAGAAGTCAAACTGCTCAATAAGCACCTTCTTTGACGAAGCTGTCCAAAACTGTCGGTGGTTATATATTCAATATGTATGCTATAAGTTTTATGCATTTGGACTTTGGTTATTTCTATATCGTTTATAAATTATTCAACGGCTTTGCAGCAGAATGTACCTACAACGTTAAGCCTCCAATCCACCAATTATGCATATCCTAACCATCACAATTCACACAAGGATACTAATCGTCACTCCGACATCAAAGCGAGTAGGCTAGCAGCACGTCGGCCCCTGTCGGTCAGGCGATGTCGAGCACAGTCTTGCGGTGTGTCGGGCGGTGTCAGGTAATGTCGTGTAGTGTCGGCTCATCTGCCGATCTCCCACGGGGCACAGCGACTCGGCAGCGGTCATCCTCCGGGACCGCCACTGTGCCACTGCCACCATACCGGCGGATGGACATAGAAATGGCCGCTGGCCGAACGCGCCGGTCTACCCCCCCTCCCCCCGCCCGGCTCCACTGACTCCCCGCCCCCGCCTCCCCGCCCGGCGCGCCCGAGGGGCGGTGGTAAGTGGCGCGAAAACGGCACCAGATGTGACTGATGGCGCCGGGATCGACCGCCAACCGGTCGCCCCGCCCCGGCGTCGGTCCACTCCCCGCCCAACCGGGATGACCGAGCGCAGAGCCAGGATGAAATCACCGACACAATAGACCAGGCGCAGAGAGCCGGAGTAGGGGAATTCCCAGCAAGCCATTGCGCTCCATCGAAGGCCGACTCGGGACGGCGAGAGAAAGGGGGAGGGGGACTGTGGGTATCGCCGGCGCCGACGACCGACGATGATTTATTCAGGAGCTGCTCCCCGGTATCGGCGCCCCGAGGATTGGCACAGACTCGCCCGGAAGCCATGTCAGAGATGATGTCCGCCTGTAAAAGCTGGAGCCCGACGGCAGCTATACCGACGCGCATGCATATCCGAGTGGGTCATATCCGTTGCTATTTGTGACCAGTAAAACTTGTAATGAATGGTATGAGGCTTAGTTGGAACACATCTCGAACCGACTTAGGTGGTCCTCAGCCCCTCAGAAGTATAAATAGCCATCGTAAGCACATTCCTTGCCGTTATTCTTTTGTAGCCGTTCAAAGTACCGCCTTCGGCGACGGGTCCTGACTGACTGCCTCGGACTGTCTCAGTGTCTGGAGAAGGTCCTGGTGCAGAACATTCTGTTCGGCCTGTCGCCGAGTCTGACCGACGCCATCAAGTCCATCTCGCGCTGGCGGCTCATCCAGACGGCCTTCCCCTACGTGGTCCACTGCGCCGCCAGCCTGCTGCACAACCGGTGAGCAGCAGCGTCGGACCGTGGACTGATTGTCCGTCCGAGTTAGGATCAGGAGGCTCAGACTCATCTTTATTGCGGCGCAAAAAGCAATAAATGTGTACTTATACTGTGTAGTCTTGAGTCCGTGTAAGTGATCGTATTTGTTCCTTTCTCCCTTTCAGTCAAGCGGTAGATCCTATGAGCCTCCTGAGACGACAGGTACCTACCGGAAGCATTCTGAGACTGTGTCCCTGTCCACAGGCGGGAGTCGAACCTACGGGTCCCGTGTGCCCTCTGAGACTGAAACTCTGCCTCACAGGCGGGAGTCAAACTTGCAGGGCTTGGGCGCCTTCTCAGACTGTGACCCTCTCCCCAGCCGGGAGTCGAACCTGCAGGGTCTGGGCGCCCTTTGAGACTGTCCGTGACCCTGTTCCACACAGGCGGGAGTCGAACCTGCAGGGCCTGGGCGCCGTGGACACGAAGCTACTCTACACACTGCACTGGATCCTACTGGACGCCGCCGAGGAGTGTCGAGACGCCGACCTCGAGCAGGGCATCATCAACAGTTCGCCGTTCCACTACCTCTTTCCCATCACTAGCATACAGGTTAGTGTCCATAGCTCTCCTCTCAGCGCAAAGAGACACACGCCATCATTCAAAGTATAGTCGGTAGTCACACAAAGAGATGGGACACTGAGCGCTGAACGACTGAGCCCGAGGAGACTGAGTGCGGAATAGCCTCACATACACCCATTATTCATAGCATGTTCATAAATAGAGAGATGGGACACCGAGCACGGAACAGCTGAGCCCGGGGAAACTGAGAGCAGAATCGCCTCATTCTGTATTCAGGCCCGAGGTGGAATAAATGGACCGCTTAGGATGTTCTGAGCGATATTGCTCAATATGTCAGCCTAAATTTGCATTTGATTTAGGTATAATATGCTGCATGCGGTCACCGATCCCATTCTGTGAGTTATCGATTGAATGCTCAAAAAGAATATTGAAGCCTTCAAGATCCGGGTTTCAGTGAAGAATAAAACACACTCGGTTTCACGTGCCAGTGACCTCGTGGATTAAGTGTTCCATCGGACAAAGACCTGCGGTGGTCGGCTGTGCGTGCGTGCGGCTGGTCCGATTCACCGCTGGTCGTCACGTGTGGACGGCTCAGGCCACTGATCCAGCGGCACCGCCACGAGTCCAGGAATTGAGTCCCAAGAGAGCCGGCCACAGTCCGAGCCTCCTCACCGACGACCGTGACACGGCCGACACTCGGCGTGTCACGACACCGACTTCCGTGTCGCGTCACGCCACTCCGCGTCATGTCACGTTAAGCCGCTCAGCGTCACGGCGAGTGACGTGATCATCATCGCGTGACCGTGCGGAGGGAGCCGTCCCATAACGGGGGTCGACGATCGGCCTGCAACAGGTCCCCGTTCGGAGCAATCCCTTCAGCGGGCCGTGCGCGGTTAACAATGGATGTCGTAATTGATCGGCTTCGTTGGACATCAGTCGTGGGGGCGGACCGCCGGTTAGCCGCGGAGGCTGGTCAGCCGAGAGGCGGGCCGCCAGCTAGTCGAGTGGAGGCTGGTGGGCGGGCCACCGCTGTTAATTTCGCGGGCCCTGAAGCTCGACTCGGACGTTCAGAGTGGCTGCGTGTTTGGCAGTTTGGTGGAGCCAGCTATTCAGTGCGCTGAAAGGCTGCCATTATTGATGATGTTCTGCCCGTGGAAGCAGAGATAATGGAGGCAGTGAGTCAGAGGTTAACTATCCGTCCCAATAAAATATGTGCTGAGAGTTGTTAGAGTTAAAAGATAGCAACAAAATAGCTTTCAATGTATGATAATGATGTGAATTAATTTGCATATGATAACGCAAGTCTATCGTAATATTACGAAATATTTTTCTTTGGTTACACTTTGAGATTTGCTTTCCTATCAACTGTATCGCCCACTAAAACCATCCTATTTTCCATTCAGCGGCGCGCTCGTCGAGCACGCGTCGGCTCGGTTCGTCCGGGTGCTATTCAGTGGAGCACGGCCCGTTCGACCGGCCGGTCCAATTTGGTCCAGCTCGGCTGAGGCTGGGCCCGCTCCGCTCGGCCGCTCGGCCGGCCCGGCGCCGTCTCGAACAGCCCTCGGAACACAGTATTGAGCGGCCACCGGGGTGGCCAGATTTGAGCGCGGCCTCGTTCGATGGCCATTCAAAGCCTTTTGACTCAGCCGAATATCTTATAAATCTGCAGCCTCGAGAACGTTTGATGCAAAGTGGATACGCCGAGTGCTGTAACCCTCAAGAACACGGTGAAATTTATTCATTAAAATATTTCTCGAATAGATCGCTGATGCTTATATGAGGTCGGCCTTTCTGACGAAATGAAATCGATGATGGAATGGCTGTCATCAGGAAAATTTCTTCCATTGAGATCGTCACGCGCCTTCGCATGCTTCAAATTTATGAGTTGATCCAATTGATGTCCGTTCCAATTCAGCCACGTTAGAAAATGCTGAACATGTTACATCAGTTGACAATTAATACAAGTATAGGCTTGAGCTGTGTTTAATATGTCCGCGACTCCGCATCCACCCATTCTCCTTTTAAATCCCGTCCCGTCCTGACTCCTGCCCGTGTCCCGTCGTGTCGGTATCCCGTCCTGTCCATGTCCGCGTCCCGTCTCCGTCCATCGTCCTCCGTCCTACGCGCTGCGACCCGTCCCGTCCATCCGTCCTGTCATGCCCTGTCCGTGTCCCGTCCTGTCCCAGTCCCGTCTCGTCCCAGTCCCGTCTCGTCCCAGTCCCGTCTCGTCCCAGTCCCGTCCTGTCCCTGTCCGGTCCCGTCCTATCCGTCCTCCGTCTCTGCGGGGACACTGACGTCACCGGATAAAGTCCCGTCTCGTCCCAGTCACGTCCTGTCCCAGTCCCGTCCTGTCCCAGTCCAGTGGGACATTCCGTCCGTATCCCGTCCTGTCCGGTTCCGTCCTATCCGTCCTCCGTCTCTGCGGGGACACTGACGTCACCGGATATAAGTGCCGAGAGAGCGGCGGATGTGCTGAGCCAACACTGGCTATCGACCGGGCTGAGCTGGCCGGCCGGCCGGCCTGTGGAGCTCCAACAGCTGCCGCGGGTCGGCCGGCCACACAGGGACGAGCCGGCTGCACACAGCGACACAGGGCTGACTGGGACGAGCGGCTACACAGGGCTGAGCCGGCTGCACACAGCGACACAAGGCTGAGCCGACTACACACAGCGACACAGGGTTGAGCCGGCTGCACACAGCGACACAGGGCTGACTCGCCCGACTAGCTATACAATGGGTCGGTCGGCCACACAGGGTTGAGTCGGCTACACAGTACACTCAATTCACAAAGCAGAGCCGACTAACACACAGCGACACAGGGCTGACTGGGACGAGCGGCTACTCTAGGTCGAGTGGCTACACACAGAGACTCAGGGTTGAGCCAACTAACGCACAACGGCACAGGGTTGGCTGGGACGAGCGGCTACACAGGGCTGAGCTGGCTACACACGGCGACATACTCGTAGGGCTGACTGGGCCGAGCGGCTACTCAGGGCCGAGTGGGCTATAATACACCCAACAGTCAACACAGGACTGACTCACCCGAACACCGGAACACAGGGCTGGCACATTCGGGCCAAATTCACAGGGCTGACATGACCTGGCGGCCGGACCCGCACCGTGTCTGCCCAGTGAACACGGCCGAGCACTCGCGGCACGAAGGAGGGGCGCGAACGGGGTCACCATTCATATGTCAACCAGATTCGGTGTGGAAAGCCCATCGTTCATAGTACTCTATTGAGGCTGAACACTGATAATTAGTTTGAGCTCGGCTTTAATTGTTCACTCATTTCTGTGATTTTAGAACTGATGTTACACGCTGATTAAATGCACAAGCACATTTCATCTGAAGGGCATTTACATAACTTATCCCTCGCACGACAAGGCCATTTCTCATAACACGAACGACCAGGGGGGGGGGGGGTTGTTACGACCCCCCCTGGCGTTTCGAAACGGAAGGTCGTAGAGCTTAGCGGAAAAAACCAACGGATTGCTCTCAACGAGATCTCGCGATTGGTGGTATATTTTTTGGTCCTAGGTCAACATTTGACCTACTTTTGACCGGTCAAAGGTCAAATTTTCGGAAAAATAGACTTTTTTTTTCAACTTTCGGCGGCGATTGCGGCAAAACGGTGGGAGATATCGACTTGAAACCTTCACTATCGTGTTCCTTGATCAATTCTCTATCGTTTGGTATGTATTTCGTTTCCCTAGCTCTAAAAATGGCGCGTTGGGAGCGCCGGAAGTCGGCAAGGTCACAGTCGGCGGCAGAAATTCGAAAAATCAAAATTTAAATTTTTGAAATCTGATTGTATTTTTGGATTTGGGAGGTCCATTTGCTCCCTATAGAAGCTAATATTGCTGCATATTCCCATTGAGGTGACAAGAATTAGCAAAATAGTGGTTCGGGCGCTTTTCAAAAATAGTACCGGACGCTGTTCCTCTTGTGACGTCATAGCTCCGTGACCTGACCTGACCCGGTCAAATTTCTTATACCATATGATAGCCAATACTTGCCCCAACATGCATGGGAAGTTTCATCACGATCCATCAACCGATGTCCGTACCACCGGCAGGAAACATCGGGCGTTGGCACTCAGTTTGTGAAAATCCGGCCGGAGGCTGTACCTCTTATGACGTCATAACTCCGTGACCTGACATGACCCGATCAATTTTTTTTCGGCAAAAGATGCGCAAAGGTTGCCCCAGAGGGTATTGAAAATTTCAGCCCGCTACGACAAGCCGTTTAGCGTGCACTTCGAAAAAACCTCAGGGGGGGGGGGGGTTGATACACCCCCCCCCCCCTAGGCGTTCTAGGGTTATGGTATCGTTGACTTATCGCGTACTCCAATTGTTACAAGTAGATGATTTACCTACTCATGGAACAGAAGTCTGAAAATATCATGCCAAATTGTCATACCATTTTCCGGTGTCTCACCGTTCAACACCGCCTCATCCCAATTATTCAGCGAGATAAGACGCAACGATGGTACACCGAGCGAGCCGTATAATTCGCTTTATGCATCTGAAAACAATCGTCCTCATTGTCAGAGCCCATATAAAGCACTAAAGCAGCTTGGTTTCATTCCACGGTCGTCAAGCTTCCACGGTGGGCTAACTTATAACTTTCATCTCACTGTCCGCCGAGCAGTGTCGCAGATCTTTATCGTCTGAGACGGTGTAAAGATAAAAAACGTAACAAGCGCACCACATTCCGCAGGCGTTCATCTACCTATTCACACCTCTGATGCACTCGCTGAAGGAGTCGGACTTCACCAACTTCCGGCTGGAGAACGGCCTGAAGATTTGGTCGGCGCTCTGGGAGTACCGGCACCCGGAGGTGGCGTGCTTCACGGCCACGGCGCGACCACGGCCGGCCGTAGCGCCGCCACGCCGCGGCCGCCGCGCCGCCCAGCAGTTCGGCGATGTGTTTATGGGCGGCGGCAAACAAGGTGGGTGCCCAGAGGAGGCGCTGGAGGGGGATAGTTGTGTGAGGAGGCGCCGGAGGGGGGATAGAACTGTGAGAGGAGGCGCCGGAGGGGAGGATAGAATTGTGAGAGATGGGCCGGAGGGGAGGGTAGTTGTGTGAGGAGGCGCTGGAGGGGAGGGTAGTTGTGTGAGGAGGCGCCGGAGGGAGGATAGTTGTGTGAGGAGGCGGCGGAGGGGAAGATATTGTATGAGAGGGTGCCGGAGGGGGATAGTTGTGTGAGGAGGCGCCGGAGGGGGATAGTTGTGAGAGTAGGCGCCGGAGGGGAGGATAGTTGTGTGAGAGGCGCCGGAGCCGGGAGGATTGTTGTGTGAGAGGGGCGCTGCGGGGGGGGAGGATGGTTGTGTAAGAGGCGCTGGAGGGGAGGGTAGTTGTGTGTGGAGGCGTCGGATGGGGATAATTGTGTGAGGACTGGAGGGGGATAGTTGTGTGAGGGGCACCGGAGGGAGAGAATAGTTGTGTGAGAGAGAAGGCGCTGGAGGGGAGGGTAGTTGTGACAGAAGGCGCGGAAGAGAAGGATGGCTGTGAGTGGAGGCGCTTGGGTGAGGTGGAAAATAATTGGCTAAGGTGGTGTTGGAGGCATTTTAGAGCTCATTTCCTTTTTGAAGCCCCGCCTACCAATCTAGTATCACGTGAACAACTGCCTTATGCGGTCACAGTTTGTTTTTCTGGATAAGTTCAAACATTCTCCAACTGATCAAAGCTGATTAGTTGTTTTTCACATAACGCCTGAGGGCCTGTAATTATATGAAACACCGTTTCCCATTTCCACATTGTCACACCGCTGTCTGAGCAGCTACCGCCGAGTCGATAACATCGCGCCCGACTGCCGTCGGTAATGAGGGCGTGGGCAGGGGCATTGTGTTGACGTGACCGCGACGACCCAGAAACACTGTCCAGGCACGATCCCATCGCACGGGCCCGGTCCGGTCGGCTTCTGTGAGACCTGACTCACCAAAACAGCCCTGTTTGAAATAAATACACCCGCCGAGCTGCCGAGCTCCCCGCCGGCTGTCTATTTTTGCTGGCCTTCTGGAACCGGTCTGGTAGTTTTCAGTGGGTCCGGGAGCCGAGCGAAACATGTCGATACGGAGACGTTGTTTGGACCGGAGCGGCGCCGCCGTCTGTGGACCTGTCTGGCCCCGTTCGTTTCCCTGATACAGCACCCCGAAACCAGCGGCCGGCAGCTCCGAGTCGACAGTTGGGCCGAGCAGAGCCAGGAATTAGTGGCCGGGATTGGATTGAGCCGACCGTGGCGGTGCGGTAATTTCGGAACACCGCCGAATGGCGGCCGACAAAAGAATTGGAGCCGTTGAAAACAGCCGTGAAAGCAATGAACGCTAACAAGGAAATATGAGTGTGGTAGCGCTGTTTAGTGGGGTTACTTCATAACAAATCACGTAATCTATATTATAAATCCTAAATAATCCGCCGTGTGCGACGTACGCACTTTGTGGCGCTTATTGCCGCGGCGTCTGTTGACCTACGGCCGTGAAATTTTACAGCGATGTGGGCCACCTTTACACGTAGGTCGTATTAAATTTTGGACATGATGGGGCCGGGGGTGCGCCCGCGGCGCGTGCTCGCGTGCCCATAGGGTTAACATTAGAATCGGCAAAAACACGCTATTGCTCGAGAACGGTAGGGGCTACGGGGGTGAAATTTTCACTGCAAGTCGGACGCGTGCACTCATTTGTCGTATTAAATTTTCGAGGGTGCGGGTTCAGCGGTGTGCACGTGGTGGGGCCGCGACCGGCGCCGAGCAGAGGGCACGTGCTTTAGGCTCAGTTGTTCGCTTAAAAAAACTTAGTGAAAAGCATTAGAGCCGGCAGGTCATTGACCTTTGACAACGAAGGCCGACACAAGGCACCGCTCGCCAAGGGGATTCGCCAGTAAATACTATTAATTTGTTTTTGCAGTATCTCAGCCGTTTCTGGGCCGATTTAGCTGAAACTTGGACTGTCGGTGGTAGTGTAGTGTAGGGTAGGGTAGGGTAGGGTAGGGTAGGGTAGGGTAGGGTAGGGTAGGGTAGTGTAGTGTAGTGTAGTGTAGTGTAGGTAGTGTAGTGTAGTGTAGTGTAGTGTAGTGTAGTGTAGTGTAGGAGTAGGGTAGTGTAGGAGAAGGGGTAGTGTAGGAGTAGGGGTAGTGTAGGAGTAGGGGTAGTGTAGGAGTAGGGGTAGTGTAGGAGTAGGGTAGAGTAGGAGTAGGGTAGAGTAGGGGTAGGGTAGAGTAGGAGTAGGGTAGAGTAGGGTAGAGTAGGGTAGGCGGGCGGGCGTGCGTTGCGGGCGTTTTTTTGCGGCGGTATTTGCGTTTTTTGCGGTGTTTGTGTTTGGCGGCGGGCGGGCGGGCGTTGCGGGTGTTTTTGCGGTGTCTGCGTTTGGCGGCGGACGGCCGTTTTTTGCGGCGGTTTGCGGCGGGCGGCCGTTTTTGCGGTTTGCGGCGGGCGGCCGTTTTTTTTGCGGCGTTTTGCGGTTGCCGGCGGCCGGCCGTTATTTGCGGTGTTGCGGTTTGCGGCGGACGGCCGTTTTTTTGCGGCGTTTCGCGGTTGGCGGCGGGCGATGCGGGCTTTTTTTGCGGCGGCGGTGTTTGCGTTTTTTGCGGTGTTTGCGTTTTGCAGCGGACGGGCGTTTTTTTGCGGCTTTTTTGCGTTTTTCTGCGGTTTTCGACGGGCGGGCGATTGTTTCTTTTTTGCGAAGTTTGCGTTGGCGTTTTGCGCGTTTTGCGGTGTTTGCGTTTTGCGGCGGGCGGGCGGTTTTTCACAATTCAAGTCCCAACCTTCGGATCCGCAGTGCTGTTCGACAAGCGCTGCCCGGGCCCGCCTTACAGTTTAATTAAAAACAGCTACCCAAATCTGCCCATATAATACAGATAAAAATACAAGTCAATCACCCAAACTAATGCACCCGTAACATAACATAAATCAAAACATACAGTTATCGCGTAAACCTGTACCTCTAGTCTATATTATAAATCCTAAATAATCCGCCGCCGCCGTGTGCGACGTAGTCACTTTGTAGCGCTTATTGCGGCGGCGTCTGTTGACCTACGGCCGTGAAATTTTACAGAAATGTGGGCCACCTTTACACGTAGGTCGTATTAAATTTTGGACATGATGGGGCCGGGGGTGCGCCCGCGGCGCGTGCTCGCGTGCCCATAGGGTTAACATAAGAATCGGCAAAAACACGCTATTGCTCGGGAACGGTAAGGGCTACGGGGGTGAAATTTTCACTGCAAGTCGGACGCGTGCACTCATTTGTCGTATTAAATTTTCGAGGGGGTTGGTTCAGCGGTGTGCACGTGGTGGGGCCGCGACCGGCGCCGAGCAGAGGGCACGTGCTTTAGGCTCAGTTGTTCGCTTAAAAAACTGAGTGGAAACAGACCCGGCAGGTCATTGACCTTTGACAACGAAGGCCGACACAAGGCACCGCTGGCCAAGGGGATTCACCAGAAAATACAATTAATTTATTTTTGCAACATCCCAGCCGTTTCTGGGCCGATTTAGCTGAAACTTGGACTGTCGCTGGTAGTGTAGGGTAGGGTAGGGTAGGGTAGGGTAGGGTAGGGTAGGGTAGGGTAGGGTAGGGTAGGGTAGTGTAGTGTAGTGTAGTGTAGGAGTAGGGTAGGGGTAGGGGTAGGGTAGGGTAGGGTAGGGGTAGGGTTGAGTTAAAATAGGGCCTAGGGTAGGGTAGGGTAGGGTAGGGTAGGGTAGGGTAGGGTAGGGTAGGGTAGTGTAGTGTAGTGTAGTGTAGTGTAGTGTAGTGTAGTGTAGTGTAGTGTAGTGTAGTGTAGGAGTAGGGTAGGGGTAGGGGTAGGGTAGGGTAGGGTAGGGGTAGGGTAGGGGTAGGGTTGAGTTAAAAAAAGGGCCTAACATACAAAAGACTTGGACACTCCGCAACTATCGCTATTATATTAAAAACAGCTATACCCAAATCTACCCAAATAATACAGCTAAAATACAAGCTACTCACCCAAACTAATGCATCCGTCACATATAATTAATCAAAACATACAGTTATCGCGCAAACCTGTACCTCTAGTCTATATTATAAATCCTAAATAATCCGCCGCCGCCGTGTGCGACGTAGTCACTTTGTAGCGCTTATTGCGGCGGCGTCTGTTGACCTACGGCCGTGAAATTTTACAGCAATGTGGGCCACCTTTACACGTAGGTCGTATTAAATTTTGGGCATGGTGCGGCCGGGGGTGCGCCCTTGGCGCGTGCTCGCGTGCCCATAGGGTTAACATTAGAATCGGCAAAAACACGCTATTGCTCGGGAACGGTAAGGGCTACGGGGGTGAAATTTTCACTGCAAGTCGGACGCGTGCACTCATTTGTCGTGTCAACTTTTCGAGCGGGTGGGTTCAGCGGTGTGCACGTGGTGGGGCCGCGACCGGCGCCGAGCAGAGGGCACGTGCTTTAGGCTCAGTTGTTCGCTTAAAAAACTGAGTGAAAAGCATTAGAGCCGGCAGGTCATTGACCTTTGACAACGAAGGCCGACACAAGGCACCGCTCGCCAAGGGGATTCGCCAGTAAATACTATTAATTTGTTTTTGCAATATCTCTGCCGTTTCTGGGCCGATTTAGCTGAAACTTGGACTGTCGGTGGTAGTGTAGTGTAGGATAGTGTAGTGTAGTGTAGTGTAGTGTAGTGTAGTGTAGTGTAGTGTAGGAGTAGGGTAGTGTAGGAGAAGGGGTAGTGTAGGAGTAGGGGTAGTGTAGGAGTAGGGGTAGTGTAGGAGTAGGGGTAGTGTAGGAGTAGGGGTAGTGTAGGAGTAAGGGGAGTGTAGGAGTAGGGTAGAGTAGGAGTAGGGTAGAGTAGGGGTAGGGTAGAGTAAAGGTAGGGTAGAGTAGGAGTAGGGAAGAGTAGGAGTAGGGTAGAGTAGGGTAGGCGGGCGGGCGTGCGTTGCGGACGTTTTTTGCGGCGGTATTTGCGTTTTTTGCGGTGTTTGTGTTTGGCGGCGGGC